TCTTTAAACCTATATGGATCTGTAATTAGTTGGTCATTTCACGAATGCTTTAAAATAAATTTAGTAGACTTTCGCACCTGGTTTCAGCTTGCTGGTGTCATTACAGGACAAACTGTGGGTAGAGCAAAACTCCAGCATGCACAGAAGGGGTGCCCTAATCTAAGCCATACTGTTGTAGAAAAGCCTCCACCCCATGACCTGCCCAGCTTTGCACTGATGGACAGCACTGGTGAGAGGACTGAGCAGGGTTTGTTCTTAATGTAGATCAATTAGCTGAGCGCGTTGCTCATGAAGGAGCAGGAGCAGCATCCCTGGGTGTGGGAATAGCACAACACTTGTGGACACGTCTCCCAGTACACTTCTCCACCACGACACACACCCATGAACCACAGCACACACTGCTAATCCTTTCTGGGACACTTCACCCTTTTCCACCTCTTTCTCCAAGCAGCATGGCCAGGAGCTTGGTGGTATGGATTCCCAGGACCTCAGTGGAAGCACCTAGTGCCTTTAATTTGAGGTATTGCTGTTGGAAACTAGCTGTCTTAAGGGAAAACACTAGGAATCAGGTCAACTGATACCATCCTGGCAGTGGCATTACAGGTCTAGGAATGTGGTCCAGCAGCTCAACAACAGTCAAAGAGCAAAATCATACTTTTGTTGCTATCTTAAGATCAAATTAAACTACTTCAGGACAAACACGTTTGCACTTCCAAAGGTTCTTTGAAGCCTCAGTCAGCACAGTGCATGCTTCAGCTTTAAGAACTTAAAGCTCTGAGCACGTGATCTACAATCTATTGGATTAAGCTGGAGCTTGAGAGTAACTATACAAAAAGTGTTGGTTTAACACATCATCTGTTGGGTTTTTCTTTTTCCTTCCCACCAAAAAGGCAGTTTAGTCATAATATAACTGTCACAAAGGACTGCTGGCTTCAACACATGGTATCCTTCAAAAGTTTTGAGTTAGGACAAACTTGTAGATAGGCACTGAACTGTTTCTCTGTTGTGGCTTTTCAAGTGAAAATAAGTTTGGTTAAAAAAAGAAGCACAACACCTTTTTTTTTTTAAAAAAAAAAGTGGAAAATAAAATAAAGCCACTATTGCTCCCTCATGAACTTTTATCTTTGTATTTTCAGTTCCTGTTTTCACTATGTTTTATTTCGCACGTCTCTTTGGGAACAGACTTTCTTGTGTCCTAGGAATTTTCATGGATTGGAAAGAGCTGTTTCCTGCCTAGTCTATAGGTGGGTTTGAAGAACCTGAAGCCAAAAAATCCTAGACACACCAAAGTCAGCTGGAGCTTTCCAATGGTGCTGATGTTACCAGGACTCTCATCTCCTCCAATCCAAGTGTCTTTGTGGTTGGGAAATTGCAATCTTGCTCTAAAATCTGCATTGTCCAGCCTGATTCCACATGGGAAGTGGCTTTGCCCACAGCGTACAGAGTAGGCCAGTGTGTGGTTTCTCAAAGAGACCTGGGCTGTCTGACTGAAGGCCACTTGACAGCAAGCCTCAGGCCAACAGTGTTTTTGCTCAATTGCTGCTCGGCAAAGCTGCATCCTCAGTGGGCATCTGTGCTGGGGATGGAAAGTGTGGGCACCCTGCGACTCCTTGAGTCACCCAGCATAAATCTGATCACACCACATTGCAACATGGCAACTCTATTTATAAGTTATGTGGGTAAACAGTCCATGTAACTGCACAGTAATTGTACAGAGTTCTTACAGATGATAGAGCAATAATTAACTTAGTAATTGCATGTGCCAGAATAGCCCTGGAACTTCTACAATGTGTTTTGGATACTTGCTTGCTTTCTCACCTCCTGTTTGAGGGAAGAAAGGCTTCCACTGACTTAACAGATCACACTCAGAACATCTCTCCTCTGTGGACGGTGCAGCTGCTTTATAGAAAGGGTAGTTCTTCAGCTCTTCCCCATAACCAGAACTAAGGATAGAAGTCCAGGTTAAAAAAAGGTGGGAGAAAAAGGCAAAAAAAAGAAAACAACATCAAACCCCTTCCATGTTTCAGATGCAGAGAGACAAACCTTGGGCAATACAAAGCTGGATTTGTGTCTGATAAACTGAGCAACTCCCTTTGGATGTGAGGAAAGAACTGCAGATGCTTTAGAACTAATGCCAACAAGCTCATGATTTTGAGGAGGAAATTCAGTGTCCCAGTTCAGGTTTATGATGAAACCATACAATGTGAGCAAAATGCCATGCAGGCATGTCTCTTCTGATGGTGTATATTAATGCATCCATTCACCTTCATGGAAGTGTGGCAGTTTTCTCCTGCTGAACCTCTGGACCTGGGTCTACCTCCAAGTGGAGGGAGGAGATCTGGTTGCTAGACTGGACAAGTCGATAGCCAGATGAGGTTTTCAAGGATGCCCCATCCACCAGGATGCAGGGTTGTTTGGGTTAGGTGGGTATACGGTACGGCTGCTGTGCAGAGTGTCTGGGGCCATTTGGAGGGGATGGTTGCATGCTGGAGATGCTCACCTGGCCCTGGGTGTACTGGAAAGAAGGGAGTGCTCCAAGCAAAATGATGCCTCTTTCAGCTCCAGCTCCATTGCTTTACCATGCCAGGAGGGAGCAGGGCTGAGGCCAAGTGCTCTGGGGATCTTCCTCCATCACCTGTGCCATGGCGCACATGCCAGTGAGAGCCAGGCTAGGTCCTCACTGAGAAAGCCCCTTCATCAAACCTCTGCCACCAGTGTGAGGAGACCAGGACAAATGCTGTCAGTGAGGAGACCAGGGCAAATGCTGCTGAGATCAGCCCTGGCTCCTCCTCACCTGACAACACACCTTGTCATGCTGTGCCATTGCCCAGAGAGCCATCATGAAGCTGGTGGGAGGTTGTCAGCCTTGTGCCAGCCTTGCTTGGGCCACTTGCTGTCAGATGCATGGCTTTGGGTGGGAGAAAGAAGGGAACAGAGCATGGCTGAGGTACAGGGTGGTGAAGAAGTGACAGAGCAAAGCTTGATCCACCTAACTCAGAGCCTCAGTGCCCCTTAGGGCCTTGGGCCACTAAGCCCCAGTCAACTGTAACACCAGAGCATGCATGACATAGCCTTCAAATATTAAAAACCAACCTTCATGTAAACAGCTTATGACTCCAGGCTGGTTCAAAGAGCCACATAGGCTCTCCACAGCCCTTAGCACTGAAGTTATAGCCTTAGAGATTGCCACATGCAGAGCCTACATAGTTTCTGATCTTGCTCCTTGGCTATGGGGAAGGGCAGGAGAGTGAAGACTTCAAGACCTGTTAGAAAGAAAATAGTGGGATGTGCCCATAAAGGCATCCAAGGAGAGAAGGAGAATGTGAAAGCAATCTTCCAATACCTCAGGGGGGCTACAAGAAAGCTGCTTTAGGGTCCCTTCCAACTCAAACCATTCCATGATTCTATGATACCCTGAAAAGATGAAGTGCCATTCTTCAAGAAACATTGCAAGTGCCATTCTTCAAGAAACATTGTGCAGCAGAGACTGCCCCAGAAATCCCTCTTCTTCCCAAGGCCCTCTTTGCTCTGCTCTTCACGGTAGTGCCACCTCATCATGCACCATTTACCAGCGTAGGACAGATATGTCCATAAAGTCCATCTCACAAGGCTGAAGATGTGCTTGGCAAAGGGGTGAGGCTTCCATCAGGACATTGCACGTCCCAGTGCTGCTCGTAGAGGGGTTTCCTACAGAACTACTATGCAACTTCTACCCTTCCCACTCTGACTGTCTCCAACTCTGCTTCTACCCAGACCTCTGCTCTTTCCCTCTTCCTCTTCCAGGAGAGGGGAAGAGGTCCCATGGCTTGCCCAGCCAAAGAGTCAGCACCCAGCTTTGGGTCACAGCTTCATCTGTCTTGATGGCTTCTAGGAGAACAACTGCTTAAGAGGAGGCCTTTCTCCCTTCTGAGGTAAAATAAAAGGGCAGCAAGAGCTGCATGGATCCATGCTCCAGAGCATCAGGAACACAGATGTAGTTTTCAGTTCATAACCCTGCTCTAATACTGAATTCACTCTGTGACTTCCAGAAAACCACATAATAGTTTTCCACCAGTTGTGCCTTCCCTCTGCTCTGCCCCAGGCTCTGATCATCAGTAGGTGATGCATGTGAACAGGCTTTTGATAGGGAAGGGCTCCTGCCTCTTCAGAATGTTGATGCCCATCGATGCCGAACAAGGGTAACCTGTGTGCTCATAACTTACTTCTTCCTTGACCTGGAAAAGTGGGATTGGTTTGAATTTGAGGCAGGAGACAAGTGAGATGGGAGAAGTGCCTTTTTAAATGTTCCTTTGCCTCTCACCTCTGCATCCCATGGTGGTGTCACTAATGACTGAGGTCGATGCAGTGCAGCTGACTTGCACCAGCTGGGGGGCTGACACACAATCCTCCCCTATGAGTGCTCTGACATTGGATGGAGAAGGGCTTGTGCTGGGATATATCCCTGCCTGCACTGCAGCAAGGCGAGGAAAGATGGACCTTCATCCTGGCACTCTGCGACGGGGTCTGCTGCCCACCCCAAACCCCTCCACATAAAGAGAAGGGGAGGGAGGTGGCCGCTAAAGGGGCATCAACAACATGGGCCTCACCTCACCAAGGGCCACAAGCCCTGCACCTTGCTTGGAAGTGTTCGTGCCAGCGGCAATAGAGTTGTGAGCTCTCGCTGCCTTCCACTCTCTATTGGTGTTCTTCCCTTCGGGTCTTCATGCACTTCACTACAGATAATCAGGGCCTTCGACCATCAGGTGTCCAACACCACGTGGAGGGGGCTGCCTTTGCGTACCAAACTTATTTTACTGCCTTACAGAGCAACACAGCCCAGAAAAAAACATTTTTAACTTGCACTTTGCTCTCACACATGGGATTTGGGTGTTAATGTAAGCCTCCACTGAGAGCATCCACAAAATGCTCCTGGGAAAGGTAAGCCCAGCCCTTGACAGGACCAGTTTGGGGGATGAAGGAAAGCTACCCATCAAGCCACAAGAAGGAACAGTGCTACGCAGTCAGCAGCAGTCATCTTTCTTTACTATGGACCACATGAGATCAGAAAAATAACCTTGTTAACAAGAGACCTAGTAGCTAACAAAACATCATGCTATAGGACATACAAGAGAGGCCAAGCACAATTACCAAACAAAATAGCAACCGAGGAGGTAAGGAAACCCCAGGGTGGTGTGTAGGGTGCTGCAGGAGGTGAGGCTCTATAGCAAACGTGGTATCAACACGGCTGTGTGCACCCTGTGTGTGCATGGGGCCAGCTGCCTTAGAACAAGTCAAAGGGTCTTCACCTCCTACACAACTCCAGTATCTCCAGCACAATGATTATAAACTTATCTTTACAGAAAAAAAAAAAAAATTGTCCCAAGAACTATGTGCAAGGATTGTTTCTCCAGGTACAGTGAAAGGAGGGCAGATGGGAAAACACCCTTCGCAGTGCTGTCCTTGGGACTCCTGCCCACTCCTCACTGACACCACAACCCTCCCCAGCAACCCTCTGTGGCTTTGCCTTCAGTGAATCCCCAACAAGCCTTTTCAGAAAAAGAATAAAGAAAAAAAAAGGTATTGCTGCTTCTTCTTGTCATACTTTTTTTCTCTCTCATTCCCTCTCCTTTCCCCTTAAAAATGTTTACTTTCAGAAATTCCATTCCCGCAGAGATTCCTCCCGGGCTCTGAGGTCTCCGAGCTCCACCCTCCTCTTCTGCAGTCAGAAAAACTGAGTCTTGATGTCTCTTTGGTAAAAAAAAAAAAAAAAATAATAAAATAACACAAACAAATAACACACAGCCCAGTATGATCCCATCCACCCCACGACGCCTGATGAGAGGGTGTCTGTGGAAGAAGGAAAAATCAGAGACAAGCTGTCTGCTCTCTGGAAGCTGAGGTCCCCACGCTGCCTGGCCGGCTTTCCTGCTCTCATACAGTGGTTGCTGGCCCATACTGGAGCACCAGAGGGGATGTCTCCTTGATCCGGACATAGAACTGCCCCTCAGGCCAGGTCGTTTGGAGGGACAGAGGCAAGAAGTCATCAGGAAGCCACCGCTCACTGTCACTGGAAGCAAACACCAGTCCAAAGTGCTCCAGCTGCTCCTCGCCATAGCAGAAGGCAGCTGAGCCACCCAGAACACTGCGGGACATCTCATTCATCTCGAGCACCACCAGCTTCACCACCTCCCCAGCAGATGTCTGGCTGGTGATGTGCAGCTGTGGAAAGAGAAGAGAGATGGGATGTAAAAGGGAGAAATGGATGTAAGAGGGAGGAACGAGGAGGAACTGGGGGCCGGAGCCAGCACGCAGCGTGTCCTACAGTGGTGATTAGGAGGGTGAAGAACTGCGACCCCGTGGTGTCCAGTGAGCAAATGGCAGCAGCCCGGCATGGACCTGTGGGCAAGTTGTGCTCCAGGATACCAGAAATCCCATACTGCTTCCTTGCCTCCACTACACTGAGTCCTTACAGCTCAACTCTTGCACGTAGTACCTACACCCACCTGCTCAGCTCAGGTTGCCCACCACTCCATTATCTGCCCTGGAGAGGGACAGTCCCAGCCCTGCGCCTGGAATCTGTATAAAGTCCCTCTCATGAGCAGGATCCAGACCATCAGATCAGCTGAGCCACAATGGCTCTGCCAAACTAGTGGTGCTGAGCTGAAGCCTCTTTGGGAAGTGGCTCTAGATTTCATCCCATTCACAAGCTCGAGGTTCTCCCACCAACAGCTGTTCCTCTGTTTCCTTGGGAACTGCCCATGAATCCCAAATACAGCCAAGAAAATGAGCTCATCTGGGATTCTGGCTGCTAATGACCATTGGGAGTCCACTACTTGATTTAAAAGGTCCTGCTTCAGGACATCCATCCTCACCCAGGCAAGGCGATGGTTTCCTTTGGCACATTGGTAAGGCTTGTGGCAGTGAATCGGCAGGGTGGTCCAAGCCCTCAGCCCACGTGAGACCTGCCAGCTCCTAACAACCACTGCAGGGCTCAGCTGATTTACACTAGCTCAGGAGTCTTTCCTTTTAACTTGCTTTTCTTAGAGAAGAACATCATAAAATGCTTCCAAACAGGCATGTCCAGAGCTTTGCGACTTCAAAAGCCACATGGGCAGCCTGCCAGGAACCTGAGGGCTGCACTTCAGTGGCATAGAAATCTATGGAAATTTCTCCAGTGGAAAATAAATACCGTGAGGCAGATTCCCCTCTGCTCCTAACACCCTGCTGAGTGTGGAGACACCAGCTATCAGAGCTGCCCAGCAAAAAAATCCATCTGTCCTTGGCTCTGCCCTTCCTCTGCCATTTTATGGGCACAATGTGCACTCAGGCTGCTCCATCAGCCTTGGCTCTGGGCACTGGCAATGTTAGAAGGGATATTTCAACAGGGGAAGAAACTTCATGGTGGGAGGAAAGGAGGTGGCAGAGACAGAGGGGGACCTGCCCAAGATGTGTGTCCTGGAAGACCTATGAGGCATCCCACCCGGAGCAGATGAGGGTGACTGGAGATGCTGGGTCAGGTCTCAGAAGCAAAGCCCTCATGGAGAGGAACCAGGTCACACAGCAGCTCCGGCAGACCCTAATGCCTGAGTGAGGAAGCAGCTTTGCCTGCTCCCTTTCATGAGCTGGAGATTAGTGGCTCCCGCTCTCCTTTCCTCAAAGGCACACATGGCTGGAAGGTGGGAACACAGACCCTGGGGTGAGGGGAGGCTGTGGGAGGGGCAGGGCTGGGCCAAAGGGGACATGGCTGGATTTCATCTGTGGGGCTGATGTGGTTGAACACAAGGAAGTGGTGAAGGAAACTCATCTATGCGACCTTTGCTCACTGCCTGCCCACTCTGGATGGCACTAACCTACTGAACCATGGGCTGAGAGCTGAACCACAGCTCTGATGCCTTGTGCCCCCAAAAATTCCTGATCCTGTGGCCCTGGCTCATCCCCTCTGCAGCTACAGCTATCACTCCTGAAGAGCCACACACCCTACCCCTAGGCAGGGACATAGGGACTCAGGGCAGGAGGGCTGTGAGTATCCAGGGGACCTCACCCCTGGGATGGTGGAGGATGGAGAGGGAAGTGTCAGGTGAGGGGCACGCGAGCCCCTGCTGCCCACCTCTCCATCCTGCCAGCCCTTTCCATTTGTGCCCAGCAGAGCTGTGGCGCTGCCCTTTGCAGGCTCCAGTACCTTGACACTAGTCTCTTTGGAGAGTCCAGTCTCGTACTGAGGGCAGACCTGCAAGGTGACAGAGCCCAGCTTCTTCCCTTGATCACCCAAGCACCCAGGCTGCTCCGACTGCTCCTGGAAGTTCTGAGTCCACTCGGCTGAGCGCGTCCGGAAAATGGGCTGGGAGCCCTGTGTGCTGCGGCTGCACTCAGGCCTGGGTGTCACTGCAGCACCCAGCCTGCGCTGGCTGCAGTGGCCCGTGGTCCTGCTCTCTGTTGGGGAGCTGTCGACAGAGCCAGGGCAGGACTTCCTGGCTGCCTGGCAGAGCGGTTTAGGGAAGTCCAGGCTGCTGGTTCGGACACAGTATGCCTGCCGCTTCTCTGTGATGCGCAGCAGCTCGATCTGTCGGCTGGGCAGCACGAAGTCACTGTCATATTGCTCAGGGGGTGGTTGGGGCTCCGCCAGTGGTGGCGGCAGTGGTAGGGGGGTCTTGAGCTCATGGTTCTGCAGGACATCTGGGGCGCTGTCCTGCAGGGTGTGGGCAGCCCTCCTACCACAGCAGTCAGGCCCCAAGGAGGAGTACACCAGGTCAAGCTCCTTCGGGCTCTGTGCCCTGCTGGAGTCGTAGTCACTGTCAGTGGCCAAGAACACCTCTGAAGAGCCCTCCTCATCCGACAGCCCATGTGAGTCTGCAAGGGGTGCAAGAGAAGCAAAGAGAAGTTCAGCCTTGGTGTTGACAACCCCAGCTGAGGGGTTGAACTCATTTGCACCAGATGGGAGTCCAGGGAAGCCCCAGAGCATTCAATCCCTTGCTGTACACCCGACCTGCACTTGCTAAGACACAGGCAGAGCAGGTCCTACCCCAAATGAGACCAACTGCCCTGCCTGTACCCCCACAGTGCAGGGTCAGCCCTGGAGCCCACCAGGCAGGAGCTTTGCAAAGCCAGGTCCTTACCAGAGTTGAGCTTACAGCTGGTCTCTGGTGAGGGCGCCGGGGAGGTAAGGTACTCGAGGTGGGATGAGGTGGACCGGGTTTTCTCCTTCATTGCTCCTCCAGCCTCACTGAGGAAGCCACTGAGAGACACCCCACAGGAGGGCTGCTTGTACCGGGCATGTTGCAGGGCATCCATAATCCAGCGCATCTCACGCCAGATCTCCTCCATTTGCTGCCAAAATAGGACAGGATGGATCCCTTCCAAAAAGCAAACAGCAGCAACAAAAAGGTCCCAAAGCAACACATGGGCTCTCCCACACACCTTTCCAAAGAGGCAAAAGGGGGAATCCCTGAGCCAGGAAATCCCAAAGAAGTGCTCTCAGGTGGGAAGATGCTGCTTCTACCACTGTTGGTTCAAGCAGGGGTGCTGAGAAAGGGGTAATGTCAGGTGCTCTTTCAAACAGCCATCCCAAAATGCACTTCCAGGCCCTTTTCTAGCAAGGTGGGGAGCCGCAGAGCAGGAGCCTTTGGCTCTCCCGTCAGGATTTTTAATGTGACTATTGCTACACAAAGCCCTGCCTGCTGCTGCCCCGCAGAGAAACCCCACAGGGTCCCAGCCAAAGGACCAGTGAACAGCCCCAGTGCAGATGCCTCTGCAGCTCATCCAGGACATCACTGTCCTGGCTACATCCCGCAGGCACAGTCAAGTTCAGCTCCTTCCCACCACACTCCCACTGTGCACACCTGGATATAGTCGTGAACCTGCTGGTGCCTCTGCTTTGCAGTGGAGAGCTCAGCATCGGAGAAAGCTTCTCTGAGGCTCTGCTGAGAGAGGAGCGACTCCAGCTCCAGGAGCGCAGATACCTGACAGTACTGGGTGATGAACTCCCGGTCGTATGTGAAGAAGTGGACTGAGGAATGGAAAAAAAGAAGGGGGGATTGAAAAGCATCAGGTATTGGCTGTGGATGCCCTACAGGCTCCCCCCAGCTCACGGAACACAGGGAGGAGGGACTGCTGTCCTCTAGTCTACCTGGAGAGCCCTCAGCATCCCCTTCCATCCCTCCTCTCCTGGAGAAGGTGAGGGAGCTCCACCACACCCCACTGCCCATTCCAGCTCTCACGAGGTCTCAGAGGACAAGGAGACCAGCAAGGTTGGTTTTCGGTATTCCCTCTCCTTACCTAGCTCGAAGATCTGCAGCGGCAGCGTGAGGAAGCCAGAGCGAGGGGTGTAGGGATTGTTCTGGCCTGGGGCGGTGCAGACGTCATCTGATGGAGGCAGCAGCAGCAGAAAGGAGACCTGACCCCCAAAGTCCAGCACTTCTTGGCTGTACAGACGGAAATCTTTGGCCTGCAAGAAGACACTGCAGTAAGGCTGCAAACATCAGCTGGTGGGCCCTCCAGCAAGTGCTCATCCACAGTGGAGTCCTCAGGGACTGCCTGGAGCCAGAGGACATTGCTGTTTCAGCACACAGCCAGCACTCCTGGATTCTGGCATAAAATGTACACTTCCCTATCTCTCTTCTTCTAAAAGTCTCTCTACCTCTTGCAATGGGATGTTCACCAGGGTCATCAGCTCCTTGACGGCCACTTGGAGCTCCTGAAACAAGCAGTTCTGGGAGGCCTCAGCCTCTGGTTCTGCAGGAACAGGCTCCTCCACGCTGATCATCTTTTGCAGCCATTCCCACTCCTCCCTGGAGAAGGGCAGAGAAAGACACATGAAGGAGGGAGCAGCTTAGGATGGACATGAACATGTAATAACTACAGGAACTACATTTGGTCAGCCATTCCTCCTCCAGACAGTGCAGCATCCCCAGGGATGAAGGAGCTACAGTGGTAGAGGGGGACCTTGGTTTGCTGCAGATTCAAGCTGTCCTGCATGGCAGGCAGCGGGTCTGACAGGCTGAGAGACCTGGGCTTGTTCAGCCTGGAGAAAGAAGCCTCCTTAAGGGGAGACCTTAGAGCAGCTCCAGTGCCTAAAGGGGCTACAAGAAACCTGGAGAGGGGCTTTGGACAAGGGCCTGTAGGGACAGGACAAGGGGGAATGGCTTTAACCTGACAGAGGGGAGACTGAGATGAGCTCTTAAGCAGAAGCTCTTCCCTGTGAGGGTGCTGAGGCGCTGGCACAGGGTGCCCAGAGAAGCTGTGGCTGCCCCATCCCTGGCAGTGCTCAAGGCCAGGTTGGACGGGGCTTGGAGCAACCTGGTCTAGTGGAAGGTGTCCCTGCCCGTGGCAGGGGGTTGGAACTGGATGAGGTTTAAGGTCCTTTGCAACCCAAACCTGTCTGGGATTCTATGATTCTATGGCTCTCTGAATTAGATCCTGCTGTCAGGAGATGGAGCATAAGCAGGAGGCGATGTGGGCTCTTATGCCTAATGGAACAGAGGAGCCTGGCTGCTCTGCAAGCCTCACCTGGAGATGTTGGGATTAGAACGAATCTTGACGTGGCACAGGATGTTGGGGAGTTGCTCTGGCACTAGCACTCGGATCTGATCCACGGCACTGCAGAGCTTCAAGTAGCCCAAGTAGAGGCCCCGGGAGAGAGCATGGCTGCTCCGCTGGTGGTAAGCCAGCTTGTCCTGAGGAGAAAGGCACCACTGAATGGAGCAAGCTCTAGTGGGGGGGGGGGTGTCTCCCCTGCCCTGGTGCCGGCTGCCATGGCACAGCCAGCCCAGTCAGCAGAAGGGAAGCAGCAAAGTACAATCCGTTGCTGCCTGATGAGCCTGGCATCAGCTTGATGCCTCCCCTTGAAGCTACACAGGGTTTCTGCAGGCTGGCTGTGCTCTCCTCCCTCTCTGCCTGCAGCCAGCACTGAACCCTTGGTGGCCCAAGAAGGAGCAGGAGTGCTGGTGGTCCCGCAATTGAGCCAAAGGCAATTCCCTGCAGCAACAGCACTGGGCAGCACCTGGATGGAGATCAGCAGCATGTCCAGAGCAGTGGGCTCCTCCGGGGAGGACACGGACTTGCGACTACTCTGCAGCTTGCAGATGGGAACCCAGCGGACACTCTCAAAGGTCTGGTTGGTCTTCACCTCCTTCAGAGTGACGATGAGGATATTGCCCTGTTTGTCTTTGACAGGCTCAAAGAAGACCTGCCCCAGGTCCTGGATACCCAGCAGCCCCTGCACAAAGGGATGGGAGGGCAGGAGAAAGACAGTGTCAGGTGACATCAAGGCACAATGCTCTGTGGGACAGGGCACCGGGGACATGACTGGCCAGGTTGGATGGGGCTTGGAGCAGCCTGGTCTAGTGAAAGGTGTCCCTGCCCGTGTCAGGGGGTTGGAACTGGATGAGCTTTAAGGTCACTTCCAACCCAAACCATTCCATGATTCTATGACTGGCAGCTGCCTGCTGGAAAACAACCTGCCAGGCAAAACACCCACTGACAGCTCCCAGTCTTTCTGCATGAGATTGCCATGAAGACAGACATCTCATGTACTAGAGAAGACAAGGCAGGGGAATCCCAAGCTGCTGCTGACCGAGCCCTGGGCACGACCGGCAGAGCCTGCAGATTTCCTGGCTGCAGCACGTCCACGTGCTGCTCCCAAGTGCCCCACAAGAAGCACTTGCTCCCCATCCAGACCACCCTCACCTGCATTTGAGAGATGGCAAGCAGCATCTTGAAGCGTGTCTGTAGGATGCAGGAGCAGGACGACTGGGAGACGGTGACACACTGCCGCAGCCACAGGATCTCATCCCACATACATGACACCTGCAGCACACCAAAGGACTGTCACCACTGGCTGCCGCTGCTTCACACGAAGGTGTCTTGGGGAAATCCATTTGCCTTTCTGTTTGACCTGGGTTAAGGATGTGCTTGAACACATATTGCCTTTGAGCAGGGGTGAGATTTCCAATGCCACAGGCACCCCAAGAGCCTGTACCTGAGGCAAGTACATGTGTCCACCCAGACATCTGTCTTCATCTAGGACTAAGACCTTAAGTTTGAGTAGAAGATAGCCAAGGGAAGGAAGGAGAAGGTAGCCTTCTCCTTCACTAGGAGCAAAAGATTTTGTCCCTGAGCTGCCCACCTGCCCTTTCACTAAGCCTAACGACAGCAAAGACCAGCAGCGCCCTGCACATCCTGCTTTGTACAGCAGAGGCAGAGCTGCGGTGGCAGGATCAGTTAAACAGCCAAGAAGCTGCTGGCATCCCTGCAAAGAGGCAGCAAGCATCCACTGTGGTGGCATTGGTGCATTGTCCCACCTTTGGACTTCCAAGGGCTGGGCTGAAAGTGCCATTCCCTAGTGGCTTCTTGGTCCAAGCCTGTGCTGCCGCAGCAACCCAGGGTGGAGGGAATCTGCTGCCATCTGAAGGCAGCAGTGGTCCATGATGGCCACTTGGCTCACCCGGGGCTGCTACCGGCTCTTGGCATTGCTCAGCCCCGCAGTGGCACAGCGAAGGTCCTGGAGGCAGCACCGGGAAGCCCAGGAACCACCAGATGTTGTGTTGTCTGATGCTCACTTTGTGCACATGAGGTGTCCCCTGACACTTCTCCCAGACCTGAATCAGACCCAACCAGCCCCAGTGAGAATGCTCAAGCATGATGGGCACTGCTGCCTGCACATGCAGCACTGGGGAAGGTGCTGCAATGAAGGTGCTCTACGGATCGTGAGACTCTTTAAGGACACATTGTCCAGGGTGGTGGCCATCATCTCAGCAGCATCTGGGGTGGCAGTGTTCAAGGCCAGGTTGGATGGGCCTTGGGCAACCTGCTCTAGTGGAAGGTGTCCCTGCCCGTGGCAGGAGGTTGGGACTGGATGAGCTTTAAGGTCCCTTACAACCCAAACTATTCTGGCATTCTATGATTCTGTGTGTCAGGAGACACACTGCTGCCATGTTCCAGCACACAGCACAGGGTCCCTAGCCAACCCACCTTGGTGAACCAGAGAAAATCCTGCATGAGCAGGCAGGAGTATGTGTCATCAATCTCCACCACAGGGATCTGGTCTTCATGAGTCACCAGGATGTTGTCATCCTTGTAGAAGATGGCTGTCAGGTAGAGGCCCCTGCATGGGAGGAAAGACAGACTTCAGGGTCACCCCCGGCTGCCAACTTCATCTCCTAAGGGTCTCTCTCCCAAGGGCAGAGGAGATGCCCTGCCCCAGGTCCACCTTCTCCCCAGAAGCCTGTGTCAGAAGAGGCACAAAGCTAGTACAGGAGCAGGAACAGGAACACAACGCTGCCAGTGACACAAGCTTGGCTGACGCCACAGCTGATGCCCCAGCACAACGGAGGGGGATGGGGCCGGGCCTGTGCAGGAGACACACTGTGGTGTTTGAACGCCAAGGGTGAAGGTGGGCAGTGAGAAGCTGGTGGGGTCTAGAGGAGGATGGAGTGTTGGGTGATACTCAAGAGATCAGGTACAGGGCTTGGCCAGTCCAAGTGGAGACACCAAGAAGAAACATTTGATTTCTTGGCAATGGGAATCCTCTCTGCTAACACCACCAGCTTGCTCAAGGCAAGAACCCACTTCTGCACACCCCCAGACTCTGCAGGCGCACACAGCCCCACGTGCCCACTGGGAGAGGGGGTCTCCACCACACCAGCCTCTCACCGCTTCAGCGTCTTGAGGAACTTGCTGCCAGGATGGAAGAGGTGCTTGAGGCTCTTGGAGACTGAGTGTTTCCTGCTATGGGGCTGGCTCTTGCAGGGCTCTGGGGAGCAGAGAGCAGAGGATGCTGCAGCACAAGATGAAGAGCTGAACCAGCATGGCATGCCAAGTCTCTGCCAAGGTCTCCATGCCCAAGCTGTCTCCCTGCTGTGCTCATCCATGGGAGAGACAAACTCTTGGTACCACCTCAGCTCCCTGGACCAAACCACAACTCTGGACGCCCTCCCCCCTTTTCGCCAGACTCCCCATGCACTCACCATGGCAAATGCAGTGCTGGTGGGCAGTCTTCACCTGCCCCAGCAGATGGTCCAGAGCTTCAGCTTGTCCCCTTCGCCGTGGGGCCCGGCCATCGTACTCCCGCCAGTCTGTGGGGAACATACTAGCATCACCCCTTGGTCCGGGGGCAAAAGGGGGTCCCATGCCCTCCTCCCCATGGTACATCACCTCCCAGCATGGCATGGCATGGCATGGCATGGCACCAGATGTGGGTGCTGGGCATCTCAGGGCAGGCTTTGGGAGATCCCCAGGAGCACCCTGCCTCTGCACAGCACCCCATGGCACCCTGCAGTGCAGCAGGGACACAGCACAGGGGAAGAACAAAGTCCCATCTGTTGCTGCTGTTCTTTGCTGGCCTTAAAAAATCAAATTCTTTCCAGTGTCTTCCTCCAGGTCTTCCCTGGAGCTGCAGCTTTCCCGGGCAAGTGCCAGGAGCTGGGCTCACCTCAGCAAACACATTAATAAGATCCTGCCAGCAGCAGGACTCAGAACAGGGTTGGGTACCCACCAGCTCTTCATTAGCTTTACATTAATTGCATCAAACACCCCTGTGTCCTGCCTGCTGCTGTTTTCCATGGGTAGTTCAGCTCTGTTAACAGTGACTATGGCCTACCACTACCTTTAGTAGCTTTAAAAACACCCAGGGAGGTGCCTGACTATACTCTGCTGGGCCGGGGAGGGATCTTTACTGAAGGGAGAAATATTAATGGAGATAAAAATAAATAAAACCCACTCATGTCTGATTCACTTCTGCATCAGTGCCATGTGGGAACGTGACCCATGTGGGATGGCAAAGGGGCTTTAAAGTGTGCAAAAGGACTTATAGTGTGTCAGACACGACTGACACCCTGCCAGGGCAGGGTGAAGCCATGGCCACACAGCGCAGGCACAGACTTTCTACATGCATCCATTCATATACGTGTAAATGTGGTTTTGCATATTGCACCCTGGTGCTTTGTCTCTTAGCTGCATCTAGAGCTACACATGGAGCCTGCATGGCTCCAGCCCCATCGCTGCTCACTGGGGTCAGACTTACACCTCTGATGCTCCCAGGCAGCAACGTGCCTGGTCCCTCGCTGCCTGCTCCCCAGATGCTCATGGTGACACTCCATACACATCCTGCAGGACCACTATGCAGCAGAAACACATTTTGGTATGGGTGCTGAGGGGCAGAGGCCACTCAGCCCTGAACTTCAACATTTGGGTCTGCTTCTTCCAGTTCAGTCCTTCTAGCCTGGCTCCTGCAGCACCCTGGGGTGCATGTGTGACATTGGGTGACTTTTCCCCACTACTTGCCCCATTGCCAGTGTTGGGAGGTGAGTGCTGACAGTCTGGAGCTTGTGGGTAAGGCTCGTGACCCCCATGCCACTTCAGTGCTGGGGAACGCAGGTCCCTGGGGATTGGCTGGATGGGCCTCTCGCCCATCATGCAGTGGCACAGGGAGGGCCTCACACCCACTGCCAACCAGGACCAGGACAGCTCTGAGGCCTCGAGGACACCTCCAGCTGGGGCATCCCACTGTGTCTTCCCTCAGCATATGCCAGTGGTGGTTTTGTGCAAGTTTGCCTGCTTTGGGGCAGATGTCATTGAGATGGTGAGGAGCTGCCCAGCATCAAATGACAAACCTCTGCTGAAAGCCACAGGGCTGTTTTTCCTTCCTACAGAGAAGATGGCTGCTCTGCTTCCTTTTTACCTGGGAAAACAAAGCACTCTTTTCCCAGCTTCTTTCTTAGGATGAGCTGACACAGGTGGCCTAAAATGGCTCAGCTAGCAGAACTTCAGGTTGAAAAATTGCTATTTGGCAAAGCTCCTATTGCCTGGAGGCATCACCTGCCTGCCTGGTCTGAGATCCCAAGTGCTGACTCCATTGTCGGGTCCACCAGACCCTATACCAGCAGGGAGAGGGACCTTGGATGGCACAGAGAGCTGCCACTTCCCGGCATCGACCCTGCAGCTGGGTCCAGCTCCTGGTGGTGTTCCCAGTGGTACTTACTAGAAGGGATGGCGAAAGGGGGCACGGAGGCTTGTGGGGGACCCCAGCCCTTCATGTTGTAGGCAGACACCTGGACGTAGTAAGCTGTGCCCTGCGAAAAGGGAAACCACACTCAGCATTCTGGCACTGATCCTGGCTCAGTGTGCAAGAGAAAGGATTCCCCCAGCCCAGTACACCAGGACACCATGGGCAGTACTAAACTGGGAGCCTGCAGCCCAGGTCATCAGCTCTGACCTCCCCCCACTGTACAAAGCTTGATATCAGACACTAGAGAATCTCCACAGCGTGGGTGGGTGGCTTTTGTGGGAGAGGCAGGAGAAGGATGGGACATTGCAAATGCTCCTTGCCAGGAGATGCTCTAGCCCCAAAGACACAGGACTTCCACAGTCTGGAGGGTCAGGGTGCTGCCTTCCTGCTGGGATGTGCAAGGATCCTGGAGACAGGGAGCTGGCCCAGCGCTGTTGAGGGCTTGTAGCACAGTGACAGGGATTAAAGGCCTCTGATTAAAGCCCAGTCAAGCTGCCAGATGTTGCAAGGCCTCCAGGCACTTGTGAAGGCACACAGGAGCCTGCAAAGCAGCTCTGAAAGCCTGATGGATGTGCTCGAGCCATGCCCATTCAGCAAATGAAGACTCAAGCCCCATGCCACCACACACAAGGGCAGCTTCTGCCCCACAGTGGCTCCTGGGTTTCAGCACTGCTGCTTTGGCCAAGCCCCTCTAACCACATTGACGTTTTCCCTGCTCCTCAAGCAGGTGGCCCCTGCCTGCCCAGAGCTTTGATCCTGCAACTCCCTGGTAAGGGCAACCCAATTCAACCCAGCATCCCAGTATTCCCATTCCAAGCTCCATTTCGCTGCAGTCCCCATCCCGCCCCATCTTCCCTGCACTGGTCCAGTACGTGCCTGGACCAGATAGCAGCCCCTGGAGAGGGGACAACTGACAGGCAGCATAGTCCCTGCTCTTCCCAGCGAGATAAACCAGCCCGTGACTGTGACAAGCTCCTGGAGATGGGGACAGGGCTGGCTCCCCCTCTCCAATGGGGGACTGTGTGAGGGGTCGATGTGTGCAGGTGGCCAAAGAACAAGCCACTGATTTATTGCCCAGGAAGGGGATATCTGGAGACAGGAGCAGGGTGGGAACAGACAACAAGTCAGGTGCTGTGTGAATGGACCCATTCTGCCTTTTACCCCAGAGCCACAGGCACCCCTTCACTGGCTTTCCCCATTGCCAGGATGGCTGTGAAGAGACACAGCCTCTTCCAGCCCCACACTCTTGGCTCTGCCCACAGGCTGTACTGAACACAGAACATACCACGGCACAATCCCATTCCTCCCAGTCAAGATGATGCTCCATTCCCTCCCCACACTGGCTGCGGGGAAAGACCCAACAGGCTGCACTGTTGCTGTGGGCTCTTCCCCCGCAGCCTAGACCCCCGTGAGCTCACCGACACCAGCCCCTGTATGGTGAAGTGCAGGTTCTTCAGCTTGTCGATCACAGCCTCCCCCATCAGTGGTGAGAAGGTGGGGAAGCAGCTCCACTCCACTGAAAGGAGAGAGATCCCAAGGTGCTGTGTGGTTCCAGAGCAGACACAGGCTGCCAGGGCTGGCTGCAGCATGTCAGTACCACGGCAGCACGGGAGCTGGAGACAGGGAAGAGGAGGAGCCACGGCAGGGGGCACGGCACAGAGAGCTGTGATCCTCTTCACCAAACCATGTCAACAAGGTTAGCACTCTCAAACTATGGGTCAGGAATTGGGGATGGAGGAAATTCTCCCAGAAGCCAAAAACCAGCTGGTTTAAGCAGGTGAGGGGTGCAGGAACAGCACGGTAACAAAGCACCCCAGTGTGTATGATGAGGGGGCAGCAAACCAGTGGCACCCTGAGTTTTGCCTTGGTGTAGGATGGTGGAGCAGTCTAGCTCAGACTGTCCAGCAGCCCTGGCTCCTCCTGTGCTCAGGCACAAAGGTGTATTCAGTGTGCAAGGCCAGGCTGGATGAAGCTTGGAGAAACCTGGTCTGGTGGAAGGTGTCCCTGCCCATGACAGGGGGTTGGAACTGGATGAGTTTGAAGGATTTTAAAGTTTAAATTGGATTCCAATCCAATCCAGTCTGTGATTCTGTGATTCTACAATAGGAGCTTGGCAACACTGCTCACTCCTCAGCATGCTGGCATGGTGTGCAGGGGGTGAGCAGCCCAGTACGCCCCACTGGCACACTCAAAGTACCTGCCCATGTCTGTGTGCCCTCTGCACTGCTGTGGGGACCCCATTCCTTACCTTTGTACTTGGTGACAACAGCTGAGTTGAAGCGCAGGGGCTCCCCAAAGGTCACCTGCACTGAGGAGCTGCTGGCCACGGAGAGGTGGACATTGGTGGGGGCATCTGGCACTCCTGGGAACAGAGAGTGCAGGGACCACTACACTGAGGACAATCACTCTGAATCCCATAGTATCCCTCCTGGGCCTCCCCCCAGTCCCACCAGCATGCTCCCAGAGCATCCATATGGTGAGTCCTGGCTACGGAGTGTGGGGATGCTCTAATGGGTGGTGGTTCAGCCCCATGACTGCACCACGCAGCACCTTGCTCCTTCCCCCAGTGCTGCAGCTGGCCCCCAGGGCCCCCAAGCTTCCTGTGGGCACTCACGGGCATGTTCAAACCCTGCCTTCATGCGCTTGTAAAGCCGGTATCGCCACTCCCAGGCCTTGAGCTGCTTCTCTTTGTTGGAGCAGTCGGCGTTGGGCGCCTCATTCACCACCTGTGCTGTCAGCTCGTTGACGCGCTGCTCTGCTTCCCGCACCAGGGTGGAGAGGTGCAGTGAGCGGCTCTCCAGGCTCACAACTGTGTGGTGGGCGGGATGGCCGTGGGTCCCAGAGGGGAGCCAGCAACAGGGAAGAGAAGGTTAGGGCAAGCCCAGGCTCTGCTGGCAACAAGTCGCTTCCCTGAGACCCCATTCTGTGCTCCATGGCCTGCTACTGGGCTCCGCTCCAGCGCATGGCTGCACTCGAGCCCCTGGTGCAGCCTGCACCAGTTTCCCACAGCCCAGTGACCACCTCCCCACGTGGACCCCACTGTTTGAGCTGCCCCACTCCACCAGATTGGTGACCACAGTAACAAGCACAGCATGGCTTCCCCATGCCAACTCACAGTGTGGGCTCTCCTTTGCTCCTGCCTGCAGCAGGGCCCTGGCAATGGGAACATTGTTGGTCATGATGGCGATGTCCAGGGGCAATAACCCCTCACTGTTGGGGGTGTTTAGGTCCAGCTCTTCGGGGCTGTACTGCTTCAGCAGCTCCTGGACCCTGTCTCGGTCCTGCAGCTCCACAGCTTCGAAAAGGGCAGCATTGCTCTGGAACTGGGTGGAAGGAGAAATGCAGGTCAGCATAGGGCACCCTCCTTCACCCCACCAAACACCATAGCCCCTCACCCCACAAACCCAAACAGGAGGGTAAGCCCTGGCTCAGGGGCTTGGGAGCATTTGCACTTTGCAGACACAGCTGGGTGAATCTGAGCAAAAACCCAGACCACCTCCAGCTGAACTTGTTCCAGGGTGGCTTTTCTTAACACACCCTTGGTCTTCCACCCAGGTGACAGCACTGCCCACACACAGACCCTCCATTCCCATCTTCCCAGCCACAGCAGTGCTAGATGGAGCCAGTGGGCACTGACCAGGTAGGACTTGCGGAGCTTCTCCTTCTCACCCCGTCCCGCCAGGCTGCCCTCATCAAAGGACGTGTAGTTGACACGGAATTTCCCTGACAGGTTTCGGTAGAGCCTCTTGGCTGCGTTGGGTGAGGAAGGGCCCGGAGGCTTCCTGGCCTGAGCCAGCTGCAGGTCCCTCATCTGCTGCGTCATTTTAGGGGAGGATGACCTGGGGAAGGGCAAGGGTGTGTGGGGAAACAAGTCATGGAGGGCGGACAGAGAGGCAGAGGCACATGTGCAGAATCGGGACTGAGGCACAACCCAGGAAAGCCAGAGCAGAGATGGGGCAGGACTGAGGTGAGTGGCTGCAATGCAGGTGCCAGTGCCAGTGATGCCTTCATCTATCTATCTGTTCTCACCCGAGGCTGGTCCGTTCCTCCTTCCCATCACTGCTACTGGCCCTGCGGAGGTCCTGAGGGGTTCATATGAACCCTGTGGGTGAGATATCTTCATTCAGACCCAAGGGCCAGTCTGGCCCCTCTCCTCTTAAGTTGGGATGCCCCAAGCAACCTCAGGCTGCTGTGTTCTGCATCTGATCCCCATCCATCACACCAGAGAAATCTCTCCTCACTCCCATACTCCACCGTCCAGCTCCAACAGAGATGTGCTGTCCTATTCTGGGTCAACAGCCCCCAGCCCCATGCTGGATGAGTGCTGCCCACCACGCAGCTGGCTTGGGATGGCCTCACACACCCTCTCCACATCCATCCTTCCAGCAGGAACCTGTCTCCTGCACTCATTGCTGCCCCTCAGCCCTCTTTGCTATGTGACTGTCCTCAGGATCCATTTATTCCAGAAAAGGGCACCCTCTGAAAGTGACCCAGGCTTCACAGCTGCTCCTCTCTCACCTTCTCCATCCACATTAATTATTAAGCTACAAAAACTTTTCTCCACTCTAAGTTTGGTTTCTATTTTAAATAGCAGTGATAAATATGTAGTTACTAGGAAAGCTGGGACCTACATGAACCCTGGAGAGGGGTTTTTGACAAGGGCCTGTAGGGACAGGACAATGGGGAATGGCTTTAACCTGACAGAGGGGAGACTGAGATGAGCTCTTAGGCAGAAGTTCTTCCCTGTGAGGGTGCTGAGGCGCTGGCACAGGGTGCCCAGAGAAGCTGTGGCTGCCCCATCCCTGGCAGTGTTCAAGGCCAGGTTGGATGGGGCTTGGAGCAACCTGGTCTAGTGGAAGGTGTCCCTGCCCGTGGCAGGGGGGTGGAACTGGCTGAGCTTTAGGGTCCCTTCCAGCCCAAACCATTCTGTGATTCTATAATCTTTTCTTGGCTTCCCAGAGGGGAAGCTGACCCTCCCCCTGCAGCTGTGACTCCTATGTCCCCACCAAAACCTCTTCCCACAGTGCAGCATGGCCCCGCTGCTGTGAGGGGATTTTGCCCATGAGTCATCCCTGACAGCTCAGAGGGTTTCCACTGGCGTCAAACATCTGATCCCCTTCTTGCTGCAGCCCATGGCACAGTTCCCAGACGAGGAGCACCAGGTCTAAAGAGCATTCAGCACAACTACACTCAGCACAGTTTCTCCCAGTTTTGACCTCATACCCCTGTGCATAAGGTCAGATATTTAGGAGCAAGGTCTTCCCCGTATCACTTTATTGGTTAAATATCAAGCAAGGGGTAAGCGTGATAAAAAGCAGCATGAAAGTTGTCTTGAAGGTCATGCCAAAATGCTACCACAAGGCTGTGCCTGTGGTTATGGTGTTTATAAAGCCATCATCAGGAGGCAGGATATTAATAACAACCTCGCTACGTGCTCTTCATTGCCCTGATTTCAGATTAGGCACAGTGGGCTGCAGGAGGCCTTTAATGATTTTACCTTTTATTACTGTGATATTTTTAAGAGGAAAACGATAGGGGGGTTGGCTTCTGCCAATCACTCATCTCACTGGCTTCAGCCTATGGATTTAGAGGTCTTGAGCATGACCCAAGCCTTGGCGTGAAGTTGCTGCCTGGATTCCTCCAGGAATGGGTGTTATCTGAACATAGGGCTTTACAGACCAGGCCAACGGTGACCACCAACCCTGTGAGCTTCAGACACCCTAAGCAACCATGCACTCTCTGCAGCAGATTCTTGCCAGTTCTGATGGGAAGGAAGAGGAGCAGCTCCCCACCAGAAGAGCATCACCATGGCAGGAGAGATGTGCAAAATGCAGGGGAGGGCTGAAGGACCGGCCCTGGGCTCACTGGGACCTGCACAGCTCTCAGTCATCAGCTTACAGCCTGAGCACATCGTGCTTCATCATGGACATGGAGCAGCTCCTGGCACGGCCACAGTGGAGGGCTCCTTATGCCAAAGGCTCTGCACATGGCATATGCAAGCCTCTATAGACAGCTAGTACAAAACCCCAGGTATAAAAGGAGTGGAAAAGCATCACACAGTTCTGCTGTCACTGGTGCACATAAACTAAGAGAGAAAAGCCACCCGTGCCTGTGCAGGCAGGGCATTTTGGCAGGAAGAGGCAATTAGGAAGGCAGGTCCTGACCCACAGGCCAAGACCAAGAAGCAAAGTGCTATCTGACATACTTAGGAATGAGAAATCGATCGAGTTGATACCCTCCAGCAAAACCTTGTCCTTTCACTTGTGTTTAATTGCTCCCTGCTGCCCAAAACCTCCTCTCTCCACCTCCAGCTGCTGGTGGAACACAGCTTTTCAACATGCTTGTCAACAAGTTACCTAATTCTGTTGCATTTCGCCTTTATCCAAGTGGGCAACAATGCTCTCCTACATCAGTAAAGGGAGAAAGACCCCAAAAGTACATCCCTGAAAGCTGGAGTAGACCCTGTTGTAACAGATCCCTGCTCCCTTCATGCCTGCAGAATCAAGGTTAAAAAAGGAGAGGTGCTTTGGAACAAAAGCACTTTTTTCTGTCAATTAAAATGTACGGCAAATGACCCAGTAGAGGCAGAGTGCACAATTTGGAAGAGGTTTTCTCAGAGATCATAACAACAGGGGCAACAGAGAGAAATTTCTCACTGTTTTCCCTCATCTGATTTGCTTTTAACGAGAAGTAGAGACAGAAATTATTCAGAGCTCAGGAGTGAACATTCATCTGTATTAAACTGGCTGTCCCAAAGATAAAAGAGATCCGGACTCAGTGAAATGGTCTTGATTTATCCAGAGCTAAACTTTGCCCTGGCACAACTGATAGCTGATAACAATCCTCAGAGATGCTGTGCCCTTGAGGTACGACCAGCCAACACCAGCTTGCCCCAAGGCAAAGCCCCATCCTGCAGGGATGTGGTGGGAGGAGGTCCCAACCTCCTCTGCCTTTGTTGCCTCAGTGCAGCCAGACTAAATTTATCTCAGCCACAATCAGTTCTTGTTGCTAAGTATTTGCCAACCTACTACAAACACCATGGCACTGGACAGGTGCTTTGCTTGCCCCAGCAGCTCAGTCTTCCGGCCATGGGATGTGTTTGTGACCATTGAGAAGGCAGTGTGGACATCAGGTCTGCAATGCCATAAAGCCACATACCAGCAAACTCCATCACCCCCTCCATGGAACAGGCTGAGGTTCTGACACAAGGATGTGCTAGGGCTGTCCAGACTCATGTCATGAAACCAATGTAATGAGGATTATTTTCTTTTAAAGCACATGAGGATGGATGTGAATAAGACAACTTCATTTTACTCCTCCTTCTGCAGCTAACACAAGCAAATCCACTGGGTACTTTGTAACATTGTGGTTCCTTCATATTCTGGGTTTTAATGTTTCCAGTCCTGCAGAGCTTGGTTCAGTAAACAGTGTTAATAATTCTTGTAATTATATGATTTTAAGTGCATTTTGTTTAAGGGTGTTGTCTTTCTGAGTCTCAGCAAAGAACCAGTCCATGTCAGCCAGGGCTGCTCTATCCCACTGGCAGAGCTCAGACCCTTGGCTGGCTGGAAGAAGCCTTGCTCGCCCCAAGCCCAGCAGAACCTGTGTGTCCTTCTCTGAGCACCCTATGAGGATTCATGCACCAGGGAAGGAAGCCACCCACTGTGTGAACCCCACACACAGGGACTTTGTCCTCCCTGCCACCATGTGCTCCCGTTCCAGGGGCAGGGGCTGGAGGTACCCAGGCAGGCAGGCAATGATTGTCCTGGCCCAAACTCACCAGACTAAACATAAGGAAGAAATATTTTATGCTGAGGGCAGTGAGGCACTGGCACAGAGAGGTTGCCCAGAGAGGTGGTACATGCCCCATCCCTGGAAACATTCAAGGCCAAGTTGGATGGAGCTCTAAGCAACCTGGACTAGTCAAAGATGTCCCTGATCACTGCAGAGTGGTTGAACTAGATGACGTTTGAAGGTCCATTCCAACCCAAACTATTCTATGACTCTACAATCCTATGACGTGGGTGGTGGAGACCAGAGTGGCCATTCCACATCACCTCCCACCAGTGGGAGCCTGCATGGTGAAGAGGCTTGTGTGCAAGCAATGCTGCTGCTGGTAGCAATGGTCTTCTAGCTATTCCCCGGGGCTGTCCGGTCCCTCCTGTTCCACATGTTGGCTGTGGAAAGGATCAGTTCATGGGAGTCTGCCCATGCTGGCTGTGAGAGGGCAGCTTGAGCCCCCAGGGCTGACATGAACTCAGCACCATGCTCCTGTCCTTGGGGGGGGGCGTGGGTGTCTGTCACTTTGGGAAGCTGCTTCCTGCTGCCTGCAGCCTAATGTGGCCAAGAGAGAAGCCACAGGGCTCTGTGCATGAGAAAAAGGATGGAGGATGAAAAGTGATGAAATGCTTTGAAAGGACAAGGCTTCTGGTGAGGAGGAGGAGAAGGGTCCTTGCAGAGCTTGTTGTAGCCTCATGGCACCGTGGATGTCAGTTGCCAGGGATGCTTTACTGAACCACAGACCAATTCAGTGCATAGGGTTATCCAATGAAGGAACAGGCAAAGGACAGGAGAAGCCTAAAAACCAGTTATCAGGTAGAGCCAACCCAACCCAGCCAACCTCACCCCAAACTGGGAGCTTCCATCAAGAGTTCAGCTGGTAAGATCAACATACAGGCTGCTTCCAAAGGAATCTGAGCGCAAGGAGTCTGTTCAGTCTGAGCACACTCAGCCTAACCCCACCACCAGGACCACGCTCACCCTTGGTGCATGCAGCAAAACACTTGTCATGGCCACAAACACTGACACTAAATACTCCACAGCAGAGACCAGTTGAGCT